CAGCGAAGAACTACTAAAACACAGAAAAAAAGTAACAAAATGGCAATAAGTACATTCTTCTCAATAGCTACTTTAAATGTCAATGGACTTGGGGCTGGCCCCGTGGCCGAGTGGTTAAGTTCGCGTGCTCCGCTGCAGGCGGCCCAGTGTTTCGTTGGTTCGAATCCTGGGCGCGGACATGGCACTGCTCATCAAACCACACTGAGGCAGCGTCCCACATGCCACAACTAGAAGGACGCACAATGAAGAATATACAACTATGTACTGGGGGGCTTTGGGGAGAAAAAGGAAAAAAAAAATTTAAAAAAAAAATCTTAAAAAAAATGTCAATGGACTAAATGCTCCAATCAAAAGACATAGGGTGGCCAACTGAATAAAAAAACAAGACCCACATATATGCTGCATACAAGAGACACACTTCAGACCTAAAGACACTCACAAACTGAAAGTGAAAGGATGGAAAAAGATACTCCATGCAAACGGCAGTGAAAAGAAAGCTGGGGTAGCAATACTTACATCAGACAAAATAGATTTTGAAACAAAAACTGTAATGAGACAAGGAAGGACACTACATAATGATAAAGGGAACAGTCCAACAAGAGGATATAACACTTGTTAAGTATCTATGCACCCAACATAGGAGCACGTAAATATAAAGCAACTATTAATGGGCATAAAAGGAGAAATAGATAGCAACACAATAATAGGGGAGTTTAACACTCCACTTACACCAATGGATAGATCATCCAAACAGGAGATCAATAAGGAAAGATTGGCCTTAAATGACACATTAGACCAGATGGGCTTAATAGATATACACATTCCATCCAAAAACTGTAAAATACACATTCTTTTCAAATGCACATGGAACATTCTCCGATAGATTACATACTGGAAGAAAATCACCACAAATATGTGGAGATTAAACAAAATGCTACTGAACAATGATTGGGTCAATGAAGAAATCAAATGAGAAATCAAAAAATACTTGGAGACAAATGAAAATGAAAATATGACATGGCAAAATTTATGGGATATAGCAAAAGCAGTTCTAAGAGCAAAATTTATAGCAATACAGGCCTACCTCAACAAACAAGACAAATCTCAAATAAACAATCTAACAGTGCACCTAAAGGAACTGGAAAAATAAGAACAAAGCCCAAAATTAGTACAAGGAAGGAAATAATAAAAGTCAGAGCAGAAATAAATGAAATAGAGACAAAAAAAAAAAAAAAGGAAAAAATCAATGAAACTAGGAGCTGGTTCTTTGAAAAGATAAACAAAATTGACAAACCTTTAGCTAGACTCACCAAGAAAAAAAGGGAGAAGGCTCAAATAAATAAAATCAGAAATGAAAGAGGAAAAATTGCAACAGACACCACAGAAACACAAAAGATTATAAGAATACTACAAAAAGCTATATGCCAACAAATTGGATAATCTAGAAGAAATAGATAAATTCTTAGAATCATACAATCTTTCAAAACTGAATCAAGAAGTAATAGAGAATTTGAATAGATCAATCACCTGCAAGGAGATCAAAACAGTAATCAAAAACCTCCCCAAAAATAAAAGTCCAAGACCAGATGGCTTCTCTGGTGAATTCTACCAAACATCCAAAGAAGACAATACCTATCCTTCTTGAATTCTTCCAAAAAACTGAATAGGAGGGGAAGCTTCCTAACTCACTCTACAAAGTCAACATTACCCTGATACCAAAACCAGCGAAGGACAACACAAGAAAATTACAGGCCAATATCACTGATAAACATCGATGCAAAAATGCTCAACAAAATAGTAACAAATCGAATACAACAATACATTAAAAGATAATACGCCATGATCAAGTGGGATTTATTCCAGCGAGGGTTCAACATCCACAAATCAATCAATGTGATATACCCCATTAACAAAATGAAGAATAAAAACCACCTGATCATCTCAATAGATGCAGAGACATTTGACAAGATATAGCATCCATTTATGATAAAAACTCTGAATAAAATGGGGATAGAAGGAAAGTAACACAACATAAAGGCCATATGTGACAAACCCACAGCTAATATCATTCTCAATGGAGAAAAACTGAAAGCTATCCCTCTAAGAATAGGAACCAGACAAGGCTGCCCACTGTCACCACTCTTATTTAACATAGCATTGGAAGTCCTAGCCAGAGCAATCTGGCGAGAAAAAGAAATAAAAGGGACGAAAATTGGAAAGGGAGAAGCAAAACTGTCACTGTTTGCAGAAATGATTTTATATATAGAAAACTCTAAAGAATTCCAACAGAAAACATTTAGAAATAATAAAAGAATATGGTAAAGTTGCAGGATACAAAATCAACGTACAAAAATCAGTTGCATTTCTATGCACTAACAATGAAGTAGCAGAAATAGAAATTAAGAATACAACCCCATTTACAATTGTAACAAAAAGAATAAAATACCTAGGAATAAACTTAACCAAGGAGATGAAATACCTGTACACTGAAAACTATAAAACATTGACAAAAGATATAGAAGAATACACAAAGAAATGGAAAGATATTCCATTCTCTTGGATCAGAAGAGGTGACATAGTTAAAATGTCCATACTTCCTAAAGAAACCTACAGATTCAACGCAATCCCTATCAAAGTTCCAACAACATTCTTCACAGAAATAGAACAAAGAATCCTAAAATTTTTATGGAACAACAAAAGACCCTGAAGCCAAAGCAACCCTGAGGAAAAAAGAACAAAGTTGGAGTTATCACACTCTCTGATTTCAAAATATACTACAAAGCTACAGCAATCAAAACAGCATGGTACTGGCCCAAAAACAGACACACAAATCAATGAAACAGAATCAAGAGCACAGAAATAAACCCACACATCTATGGACAGCTACTTTTCAACAAGGGACCCAAGAACATATAATGGAGAAAGGAAAGTCTCTTCAATAAATGATGTTGGGAAAACTGGACAGCCACATACAAAAGAATGAAAGTAGACCAGTATCTTCCACCATACACAAAAATTAACTCAAAATGGATTAAAGACTTGAATGTAAGACCCAAAACCATGAAACCTCTAAAAGAAAACATCAGCAGTACACTGTTTGACATCAGTCTTAGCATCATATTTTCAAGTACCATGTCTGACTGGGCAAGAGAAACAATAGAAAAAATAAACAAATGGGACTACATCAAACTAAAAAGTTTCTATACAGCAAAGGAAACCATCAACAAAATGAAAAGACAATCTAACAATTGGGAGAAGATATTCGTAAACCAAATATCTGATAAGGGGTTAATATCCAAAATATATAAAGAACTCATACATCTCCACAACAACAAAACTAACAACCCAATTTAAAAATGGGCAAAAGAGCTGAACAGACATTTCCAAAGAAGATATCTGGATGGCCAACAGGCACATGAAAAGATGTTCAACATCATTAGCTATCAGGGAAATGCAAATCAAAACTACAATGAGGTATCACGTAACTCCTATCAGAATGGCTATAATTAACAAGACAGGAAATAACAAGCATTGGAGAGGATGTGGAGAGAAGGGAACTCTCATACTCTGCTGGTGGGAGTGCAACCTGGTGCAGCCACTATGGAAAACAGTATGGAGATTCCTCAAAAAATGAAGACTAGAACTACCATACAATCCAGCTATCCCACTGCTGGGTATTTATCCAAAGAACATGAGAACAAGAATGCATAAAGATCCTATGTTCATCACAGCATTATTCACAATAGCCAAGACTTGGAAGCAACCTAGCTGCCCAGCAAGGGACAAATGGATAAGGAAGATGTGGTATATATAGACAATGGAATACTACTCAGCCATAAAAAAGATGAAATCTGACCATTTGTCACAACATGGATGGACCTTGAAGGTAATATGCTAAGCAAAAATCAGTCAGATGGAGAAAGTCAAATATCATATGATCTCACTCATAAGTAGAAGATAAAAACCAACAACAATCAATCACACAGAGACAGAGATGGGATTGGCGGTTACCTGAGGGGGAGGGGGAGGGAGGGGGGTGAATGGGGTGATTAGGCACATGTGTGTGGTGATGGATGGTAATTAGTCTTTGGGTGGTAAACATGATGTAATCTACACAGAAATAGAAATATAATGATGTACACCCAAAATTTATATAATGTTATAAACTAATGTCACCACAATAAAAAAAAAAACACATGTGCATATATACATTTACACATACATACATATATATGGGGAAAATGTTGGAAGGAAATAACCAAAATATTTGACTGTGGGATTATGAAAGATGTTTGAGTCTTTTATAGGATGCTTTTTCTTTATTTTTCAAGTTTTCTATAACAATAATATACTACTTTTTCAGTTAGAAAAAAAATTGTAAAGCATAAAAGTTTTTTATGGCCTGTAGCCCGGTTACTACTTGAGAAAGTTACATGAAATCACCCTCCAGCCAGGCAAAGCCGAAGAACTTCTTAAATTTGGGACCAGCACTGCCCATTGTTGGGGGAAGAAGGGCATTCATTCAACAGCTGAATAGAATGATTGATTAGACACGGTCACCTCCAAGACCTTACAGCCTAACTCAGGAGCAAAGACACAGCTACTGTAGATCTTTCTTTGAAATAAAGCAAGGTAAAGATTAAAATAAAGAAAGAAATACCAGGAATTTTCCATGATGGGGCAGGGCATGGCGAGGGTTTGGGCATGGGGAAGGTTTGGTGCAACAGCAATAAGGTGTCAGAGGGGGCAGATCTGTGAGGCCAAAACTAAGCCCAGCCCTGCTGTCCGCATAGACACAGGTGGGTGAGATTGAACATAAACACACAGCCTCCTGCCCGCCTCTCAGGATGCCGTGTAGAAAGAAACAGGAGGGACAGGGCGCAATGTGGAAGACAGAGCTGGTGCAAGGCCCAGGAAGGAGTCTGTGTGTGGCTAAGAAAGCAGGGCGTCTGGAAAAAACCTGAAGCTTCGGGTGGGCATCCTAAGCTTTGTCCTCTCACCTGTGGTTTGGAAATGCCCTTTTGATCATCAGGCTGCTGGAAGGTTTCTTGAGACACTGTGTTCTCTCCTGTGGCACAAAACACAAACAAAAATAGTGATTTGAAGTTGTGCTTTCTCCATCCATCGTGAAGAAGGGTGATGGGGACACTGTCAGCTTTCCTAACTGCAAAGCAGCTGGAGCTCTGAGCCCAAAACCCCAAGCAGATCACAGTAAACATGAAGTCCACGTGCATGGCCCTCTCAATCCTAGCCGCCCCCGGACATGCTGGTCACCCAACCTCTACCCTGAACACCAAGGTCCTTCCCTGGGAATCATGGAAATCAGAGCCACATCGTGCTACATCACAGGGATCCTCCCCCACCCGCCCACCCCCAGCCAACTGAGTCTCCCCTCTTGGACAGGACCCTCTCTTAGAAGGTCCTTATCCTCCTCCTTGGTTTCCAGCACTTTCCTGGCATCACTCAGCCTTGCTCACCCCACTTAGCCCCTGCTGTCCAAGGCCTGATGGGCCTGAAGAAACAGGACAGGACAAAAGCACGGGCCTCGCCTGGCAGTCCCTGCCAGTGAGCTCTTGGATGCAGGGTGACTTCAGAAGGAGGACACAGCCTCAACTGCAGCCTGAGGCGCAGGTGGCATTTTCTTGGCTTCTCCACTCTGTAGCCTCTTCTCCTAGGAACCATGTGATCCCGGGGAAGGGTGGAAGTGGCGGCCGTTGGCTTTGCTATGCTTGTCCCAGTAGAGGCAGACGGGAACGGAGAGCGCAGTCTCCCTCAGATGCATGCAGAGTGCCAGCGCTGCGGCTGACACACCATGGGCTCTCAGTCATCTGCATACCCACTGTTCAGGTCTCACCAGCTCCAACCCCACCTCCTCCCCTGAGTCTCTGCACCTTCCTTATCTGCGTCCTCCCCTCAAGACTCCTCTCTCTCAAGGCTTTCAGCCTTGCTGGCAGGTCTTACCAGAGGGTAGGTGAATCTGCTGGGTTTCCTCCCAGGCCCTTCTTCCAGGAGCCCCTGTCACTGCCTCGCTGCCACCAGGTCCTGGCAGACCGGTCTCGAGAACTGAGTACAGAGGCACTGGGACTGCCATCTGCCCAGAACCTCCTCCTGCTGGATAGGAGCTGGGCTGGAGGGGAAAGTGCAGCTGTGGGCTGGACCAGGCTGGGCCCGTCTGCTCCGGTGTTGGCCCCAGGGCCGAGCAGTCCCCAAGGGCTTCTGAGTGGCCTTGAAGTCCCGAAAGATCCTGGTAGAAAGTGTTTTCTAAGGACACAGGGCAAAGAAGAAGTGAGACCAGAAAGGTGGCCTTTGCATGGACAGGAGCATTCCTGCCTGTGTCCTCTTTGGAAAGTAACCACAAGGACAGGCCGCTTAATGTGGCTGCCATTACTCTGATGGCAAGTACCACACAGCAGTGACTGTAACACCTTGCTGCTTATGACTGGAAGTTGACAAAATCACTCCCCTCACTGCCTTGTATGATCTCTGAGCCTTAAACCAGGGGGTTGGGAAGGCAGAAATTACCATCTCATTTAACTCCACACTTTTTTATTTTTGGATAAACTTTCTCCTTTAAAGATATCCTAATGGACTTAGATATTTGAAACTTAGTAAGCTTCCAGTTAAAACTCAAATCAGACTGCAGAAGTGATGATTTTGCTTTCAAAGGATCAGAGCGTCGGCCCTGGAAGGGACCTTGGTGATATTCATTCTGGCTCTGCCATTTTGCTGATGAGGCGGACTAATGTGTGGACGTGTTCAATGATTGCCCCAAGGTCATGGGAATGGTGTCAGCAGCCAACCCACCTGCTCAGATGAGTGACAGGAGACACTGCTGCTTCCTAGCAGAAGCAGCCATTCAGAGACACCCAGCCTGGCTCTCCTCCAGCCCTTCACCTGCACAGATTCTGAGACAGAGCAGCAAAGCCAAGGAACACAAACCAAGGCCTGCCCTCGCTCATTCCCGAAGGAAGTGCTAAAGGCTGGGAAATGACTGCAAGTAAAGAAATGAAGCCGTCCTGACGTCACCATGGAGTGTACTTTGGGAAAAGGGCACGGAATTAATTGGGGTAACAATGTCTGCCCAACGCCACGCTCAGAGGCATCCTGAGGGGAAAGGAGGGATGTGTTGAAAACACTTTGAAACATATTTCACATTTATATGGAAATTGATAGCTCAAACATCTTAAGAGCTTCTAGGTCCCCAACACTAACATGAAATACAGATAATCCACCATCTCTGGCCTCAAGAAATGTATTCAGCTGGGGAGAAGGTGAAACAATTAGATAACAACATGGTGCAACAAGTATTAAAACCTGAATGTGAAACAGAAACTAGTAAACAGGAAGTTACAAGTGTCAGGATGCCTGTGGCCCCTGGAGCCGTGTGGAGAAGATGCCTGGACCAAGGGTCAGACTGACACACGCATGGAAGGCATTCTGGGAAGGGAAGGGCGTGTACATTATCTCATATAATCAGATCCTAAGAGTCAGCCATTTATACACTGAGTTCGTCAGTTTGGGTACCTGTTGTTCCTGTGGCTCCCAAAGTAGCTGAGTGAGCAGAACAAGGATCCCCAGCATCTCCTGGCTATTTAAAATAAAGTACAATCCTTTTAAGCAACACAGAGAAAAACAAGAACAGGGAACAGTGGTTTAAAAATTAAACCAAAAAGAAACTGGGAGGGTCATGGGAGCGGGGCTCAGCCCTCCTGTCCCTCGGGTCTGCTCAGAACAGGCAGGGACCAGGAGACCAGGGCCATCCATCGTCTCCCAGGAGAAGGGGCAAGTGGAAGGAACCAAACTGTGGGCCCCAGAGCGTGCAGTGCATGGAGGGAGTAAGGGCCGTGCATGTGTGCCTTTAAAAATTCCCCCGTGCTCGGGGCTGGCCCCGTGGCCGAGTGGTTGGGTTCGCGCGCTCCGCTGCAGGCGGCCCAGTGTTTCGTTGGTTCGAATCCTGGGCGCGGACATGGCACTGCTCGTCAGACCATGCTGAGGCAGCGTCCCACATGCCACAACTAGAAGGACCCACAACGAAGAATATACAACTATGTACTGGGGGGCTTTGGGGAGAAAAAGGGAAAAAAAATAAAATAATAAAATCTTTAAAAAAAAAAAAATTCCCCCGTGCTCTCTTCAGAGAAGTGGGAGAAAGAAAACGGAGGAGGCCTGTCCCAATTACCGTTGCAATTACTACCAGCAGCTTTTGCAATTGTCAGAACAAAAAGGAAAGGCCCGGAAGTCTTTTAGGCAATTGCCCTACATTACATGAAAGTGACATGGGTCCACTGTGATCCATTGTTCCTAACAGAGAGATGGAAGCTTTGATGGTCATAAAAAGTATTTTCTGGGACCACAGAGAGTGTGGCAAGGGTGAATTGGAAGAGGGCCCCACTGTCTCACAAGCAAACACAGGAGAGAGGCGGCAGCCAAGAAGCTGAGTGCCACCCCTTCCCGGGTCAGACCGAGACTCCTGGGTGACGGAGGACCCCACGATGCTCCATGGGGTCAGTGCCTGCCTCCTCTGTGTCTAGAGGAGCCAAGAGGAAAACAAGCGGCCCACCCCACTGACCTGGCTCCAACCCCACTCACCTCCAGCTCCTTGAGCCGCCTCCGAAGGTGCACTAGCCAGTCTGGCTCCAGGTCCGTGCTTCCACGACGTCGCTCCAGAACCAGAGGATCTGACAGCTTCAATTTCTCTGCTAGCTGTGCCAGGTTTCCAGGCGGGTCAGTGGCAGACAGTAAAGGGTGGGGGTCGGGGGAGAGAGAAGTGAGAGAAGTGCAAAGACCACGGGGAAAGAGGCAAGAAGGGAAAAGAAGAAAGAGCGCCTCAACTCACTTGTGAATTAGATTATAAAGAATAATTAAGAGGGAGCAAATTCAGCAGATATCTTCCCCAAATTGCACCACAAACAATTAACCCATCTTGGTGTTAGATACTAAATAAAATATGAGGAGAAACTGTGACTCGGCTTTATGTTTCTGCAAAGGTGTCTGCCCTGTAGCAGCACTTCTCAAACTTCAGTGCACAGAGGAACCCCCTGGGACCTTGTTAAATGCTAATGCAGATTCCAGAAGTCTAGGTGAGGCCTGAGAGTCGGCATTTCTAACAAGCTCCCCCGTGACGCCCATGCTGCTGGTCCAGGGACTACTCTGTGTTGCAAGACTCAATTCCATCATGAAGTCCCCTACTCCTCCAGTCTGGGTCCCTCAGCTCCCTACAACCATCATCCTGTTGGCCAAAATTTCTGGGTAAGGGGGCTCAGCACCACGGCTTTCACTGGTTACAGCATCCAATACTTGGGCCTCACCTAAAGGAAAGCAAAAAATGATGGTAGGCTGCCTTTTCACTCTCCAGCGAATAGATTTTTCCTCAATTAAGTGGAATAACTATTTGCCTGATTGTTTTCTTCCCCGGGAACTAAAAGTTGATCTGTTTTTGTTTTCTTTTTTAAATGTATCCCACATGTGATAAAATATTCCATGCATTTAAAAGCATTTTAATAAGGATCATTTCCTGTTTTAATCACTAAAATATACTTTCTAAGCCCAGCGCTTATAATTAGAATGGTTCACCGGAAATGCAGTTTGACTGTACCAGAAAAGCAGATGCAAGAAGGAATTTCTTGCGTAGCACACGCCTGGTTTCCAGGCCCCCAGTTGCACCACCCCTCACCCACAGCATCCTTCTTTGTGCAGTGTCAGGCCTCTGCTTATCACATCTGGGCATGCATACGTGGTCAAAGACAGCCACGGGCTCCAATTTTACAGCATGTTCAAAGAAGATGAAATGTGGAGTCTAAGCTGCTTTGCTTAGCTTTCTCTGAAGACTGAAGATAAAACACCTGCAGGGAACGCTTTGCGAAGCTCACCTTGATGAGTTCCACTAATAGCACAGGGTGACTGCTCGCTCCCTGGCTAAGGAGGGCCGTGCCAACAGCTTCGCAGTAATGCAAGGCCTGGGACGCAAGGCCGTAATCTGCCAGACGGGAAGCATAAAGGAGCTTATACACCTGTGAAGAGGAACAGGGCCGGTGACTCGTCCATCCAGGCAGGAATAGAAAGGGGGAAATGTAGATAAGACTTCTTGGAAGTCAGCTGACTGCCAGCTTCCTCTAACTCTGGCATCCAGATATCAAGGAGGGCTCTGTGCCATTGGGGCATTCTACCTGTGTGTGGGCACAATTCCAAACCCAGCCTGCAGTTCCCGCATCACAGAGAAACAGATGAAGTCCCATCAGCTCAACCTCCCTAGGCCCTGGTCACCATGGAAATGTGCCAGACCACTTCTCATCAGACAGCCCACATCTCTGGAAAGCCTGGTGTATGTGGGGCAGGACCAGGCCCCAGGGGGACAGGGAAAAGAAGAAAAAATGACTCTTGTGCAAGGGGCTTAAAGGCCAAGGGAGAGAGTACAGACAAATACAGTTGATCGTTCACAGAGGCATGAGTGACAGGGTGAGACAGAACATGAGGACCTGGGAATCAGACAGACCCAAGTTCAAATCCCAGCTCTGTGCTGGGTGTGGAACATTGAGCTGGTTATCCCCGCTCTCTGTGCCTCAGTTTCCTCACTATAACATGGGGATTATACTACTTACACCTTGATGTTTGTAAAGATTAAATGAGATAATCCACATAAAGTACTTAGAACAAATCGTGTGCAAGAGATACGAGCCAACAGCATGTAACTCCTCCGAACCTCATCTCCCTCCTGCGACAGGTGGGCGGAACCACGCCGGCCTCACAGGGGGTCGAAATGACGCACTGAAAGCACGACAGCACACTATAGCCATGTCGAACACGTTCACTACCCCTAGGTAATCTCATTACCATCAGCCAAGGATAAGTGAGACGGGGGATGACTGAAGAAGGGAGGGAGGGAGACCGAAGGCCTGTACCGGAGGGAGCTGGCCGGGCAAGGCTTTGCTGGAGAAGGCGAGTCTTTGGTAAGATTCTTCAAGAAGATGCTAACTGGTTCATTTCCCTACACACGGTTACAGTAATTCATTCCTTTTCAAGGTTTTGTTTGTGTTGTGTTCGTGTTGTGTGTGAGTGTGCTGCCGCCGTCGTGCGCCCTCTCAAAACGGGCACTGAAGGAGTCTTTATGAATTAAGGGGACAACAGGCCTCAAGTAGAGAAATTGAGAAGAAAGGTTAGAACGTGCGACGTGGACACCACCTGCACAGCTGAAGCCCCGAGGGGAAGAAAGGAGGATGGGGGCCACGGACAGAGGAGGGAGGAACTTCAGAGTTGGACAGAGAGGTCCAAAAAGGATGGGAGGAGCAGGTCAGAAGGCAAGGGAGCAGGGGAGCAGCCCATAAAGGGTTAGGCCTTTATGCTCCTGCTCCTGAGGGCCTCAGAGAAGTAGGGCTGTTTGGGGAGAGAAGAGCAGGAGCTGCAGGTGCCAGCGCCGGGCCCCGGGCCTCGGGCCTCCACATGGTTCTCATCGGTCAAGAGTGAGGCAGGAGCCTCCACAGACGCCACTGCAGCGTTGTGCTTTCATGTCTTAAAATGCAGACTTTCAGGGGGGCTGGCCCCGTGGCCGAGTGGTTGGGTTCGCGCGCTCCGCTGCAGGCGGCCCAGTGTTTCGTTGGTTCGAATCCTGGGCGCGGACATGGCACTGCTCATCAGACCACGCTGAGGCAGCGTCCCACATGTCACAACTAGAAGAACCCACAACGAAGAATACACAACTATGTACCGGGGGGCGTTGGGGAGAAAAAGGAAAAAATAAAAAATAAAAAAAATGCAGACTTTCAGGGAACCTAGAAACAAATTGCAACCCTTCCCGTTCTCAGGCTAATGAGGGAAAGTTGACTCAGCCCAGCTACTGTGCGCCAAACAGCAAAGTGGAACATGCAGCCGCCCGCGGCCGGCTGACACAGCTAAGGCAGGGGCCTCGTGTGGGATCAGTTACCTGGAAAGAAGGGATGAAGGCTTTGGGGCGGCCCAGCATCTGACAGTACTCGAAGATTTCCGTCCTCTGGATAGCCTCAGTTGTTGCAAATTTCAAAAACTCTTGACTAAAACCAGGGAATAACAATAAAAGAGATTGAGGTGGGGGCGGGGGAGGAATTTCAATCCTCATAGAGAGCCAAACACCAGCTGCACCAGCTCCTGGTGGAGTTTCTGTCCGCAGCTGATCCCTGGGGAGACTCCAAAGAGAAGAGAGACTCTGGGCTTCCCAGAGGGAAAGCTTTGCCTCCTTCGCTCCACCTCCTGGAGGCTGAGGAAGGACCAGAACAGAGCCTGCACCACAGGCGCTGGAGGCAGAGACTGCGGGGACGGGTCCTCCGCCTTCTTTGCTGGGGGGGTCACTTAGGCAAGCTGCTCTCCATCCCAGCTCGGCGGGGCACTGGGTCCTCCTCTTAAATGCCCTGAGGGCCAACCTTAGTGCCCTGAAAGCCTAGGATGTGCCCCTGTGAAAGGGCCCTCCTAGCCTGAGCAGAAAAGCAAGAAAGAGGGAGCAATGTGAGGCTTCAGGAGCCCTGGAGAAAGAAGGCAAGGCAGAGAATGGGGGGACTGCCAGGCCGAAATCAATGACATCCCTGCATTGGAAGCTCAAGCAGCCAATGAGGAAGCAGACCCCGTGAATGTGATGTGAGAGGTCATCGGAGACCCCACGCACCCCAGTCTCCCCTCAACAACAGGGTGTTTGAAGTCACAGTCACCAGGGCTATCCCTGGCTTACGACTGTATCTCAGAAATATCCTCGTACGACATGGACACAGGAGGGAGAGCTACTAACCCAGGCACACTGACTGTCACATGTGGCGGATCAGCTTCCTCGACAAGCTAACCACACGCTGTCAGAGCCCAGGGCCTTGAGAGAGCAGACCGTGAGAGGGACCTTTCCACAGTGCGGGCAGCTTGGGGCAACAGCTGAAAGTAAGGGCTCTGCAGCCTGACAGTCTGAATCCCAAGTCCAAATTGACCCCCCATCAGCTATGCTATCTTAGACAAGTTCTTTAACCTCTCTGTGCCTCGGTTTCCCTCCTCTATAAAGTGAAGATTAAACATACACCTTCATAGAGCAAATTTGAAATGATTAAATTAAATAGTGAAAATAAAATGACTGACACAACATCAGAGCTTAGGAAATCATAACTGTTACAAAGAGGGGGAAGGAGAGATCCAGAACGTGGAGGAGCACCAGGGAGCAAACTGGTCTTTTCGCCTATTATCCATTGTCATTAAGGTCCTTCTGTGTGAAAAGCCTAAAGTTATGGCCAAGAGATAAAAAGTGACAGGAGACTTTGAGTAGCTTGTGCACCCAGTCAGTATAGGACTGTAGCAGCTAAACAGAAACTTCGCCCACTTTCCAGTTTTGCCCAGAGTGGGCTCTCAGATCAGCCTCAGGGCTGCCTAACACAGAGCCACAAGCCACTACGCTCACGGTATTTTCTAAGAGACAGTCTCCGGTCGTGGAGCCAGGGCGCCACCGAGTGGCCAGAGGGGCACAACACAACCCAAAGACACCAGCTCGCAGCTTCCGGGAACAGGACCTGGGGTCTGAGGCCCCCTGGTGGTGTGATGCTGCACCCACTGGGCATCTCCTTGCCCCGACCTGTGCCCAGACCCGCAGAGGAGGGGACCAGCGGTTGCCGAAATTCACACGAGAAAACGGAAAATGGAGCCATGAAACCCAGCAAGGGCTAAAAAAATCCCATGGAAAATGTTCTTTCCACTGCCTTTCCCCACAGAAGATTGCATACCTGTGACTACTGCCCAGCAAGGCCAGAGGGTCTGTCTTCACGGTGTAGTGGCCGAAGGGCACGTGAGCCATGAGGTAGCAGAAGTGAGCTGCCTCCACCAGCCCCTTCCCAGCTGCAGGAGGAGAACAAGCCCCAGTCATGGAACACGCCCACGTGGGAACCCATCCTCTGGGTGGGATGGGAGAGAGAGGGGAGTGTGGGCTCAGAGATCAGAGGGGAGAAACCTCAGGGAATAAAAGAATAAATTTCTCATAGCATGAGTCATAGACCCCAAGCCCCGCTCCCTCTCCCACCCGCATCTGCGGCCTCAGACATTACATTTCAATTCTCTTCAACCAGAATAAGACACCATTTCACGTTCCCCCTAACAGGTTTTCGATTAGGAATTCTCTAAGCATTTCAGTCCTTCCTGAGGGTGAGAAGTGAGCAGAGATGCCTACACCTGAGCGAGGATGCGGGCCACTGGGAGCAGCACTTCTTAGACTAGGCTTCTTGGGGTGCTAACACCTCCCCTGCTAAAATCAAACAATAGAAGACTTTTCCCGGTGCCCATAAAAATCACATTAATTACCAAATTGTTCCCAATTTTAAAATGCTCTCCCGTACATGTTCCATTACCTCAAATTGGATTAATTCGAGTAGATAAAGTAGCCAGCAGAGCCTGGCATCCAAGAAATTCTCAACAAAAGTCAGTTCCCTTTCTACCCGGGGGGTGAACAATCTGCCCTCTGACTTGGCACAACCTCCCACATCACTGTTTTAAGTTTAACAAAGCAATATTTCACAAAGTTCCACAAAGAGTACCACACTTTCTAGATGTTCTGTCTCTTGACTAAATTTGAGAGCCACTGATCTGGAACATTCAATAGCCCCCAAGTGTTTCCAAGGCCACGTTCACAGGGAGATGACGGAAATAAAGATTATACAATGACCCAGACAGTTCAGGCAATAATAGAATTTCCTCTCTGACTCAGCTGGGTCACTGTGAGACTAACGGTAACCGGAGGCAAGATGCCCATGTGTTAACTCTGTCTTCAGGGGAATCAGACAGGGACAGAAGATCAGGGGCCGAGGGGAGCCTCCCACCGCAGCACAGCACCAGAGTCTCAGGGTCTGGCCTGTTCTGGCTTGCAGCAGAAATTCCAGGAAACAGAGAGGCAAGAAGGACACTCCTTTCCCTGGAGTTTCTGTTCCCAAAACACTGAGGCTTCTGCATCAAAGGAAAGCCTGAGGCATAGACTTGGGCCCTCTCCAGAACCCCAGAACCCAAGGACAGAATGTTTAAAGCTGGCCTGGAGATACCCTAGAGGAGAGGGGGACAGTGCTGCCTTCTGCTTACCCAGGGTGTCTCCCATGGTGACAATCGTGCGCTGATGCAGCTCCGGGTCCCCACCCTGATTTGACAGAATCACAGCCAAGTGAGGCCTCCAGTCTCCCCACTGTTTGTCCCCACAACACTGAAAAGCAGCAGAAAGAATTGAAGATTTACTGAATAATGTCATACTAGACACAATGTAGGTAAAGGTTGTTTTCTATTTCCTGGTTTGGAGGAGTTCAGGGAACGCCCGTTATACCTCCTGCAATGCTGCTAGTCATTGATTTCAAGTTCTCTTTTTAAAAAAGCAAAAATTCTGGAAGGATGGATAGGCAGACAGACAAATACATATATATATATATATATATATATATACATACATACATACATACATAGGGATATTGGGAGATAAATAAAATGACACTATTGCTCACTTACTAATTTTCAAATTTCTTCCTGGTGCCCCTAAACCCAATAGCTAGGGACAAAATTTTTAAAAATTAAAAAGTTTGGAAAACCCTGATGTTCCAGTGAGAGAAGGAAGATCAAGCATCCTTGGCTCATGAGAAGAAGAGCCCACATTAGCCTGTTAGAAGGCAGGGGAACACTGAGCTCCTCGATACCTTACCCAATTGCTTGTGTCTTCTGGCTTTACAAAGCCCTTTCCCACACATCACCTTATTTAATCTTCAAAACAACCCCATGAAGTCTAATTCCTATGGCAACTTGAGGAAAGAGAAAACCAAGCCGAGTGGCCCAGCCAGCACTCAGTCCCCGGTCATCTTCCTCCCAACTGAGGACTGTGCCGCCTCCCTCTGGTGACAATGCAGCAGCAGAACTCCACAAGGGGGCAATAGAATGCTAGCAGAGAAGTGGGAAGAAGCCCCACACAAATGGGGCCAGGGCCACGCTTCTCCCGAATGAAGGGGAATTTCAGGGCAGAAAATATCAATAAAGAAACAACATAATGTCACAGAAACAACCCAGGCCCTGAGTTCAACTGGAGCCCTGCCTCTTACTAGCTGTGTGACCTTGAGCAAGTTTCCTAATATCTTTGAACCTTTGTTTCCTCCTCTCTTAAATGAAGATAATATTCCTACCTAACAGGGTTATTGTTGATAATAAAATAAGACAGGTAGGTAAAGCACATAGCATAATGCTTTACACTAGGTTTGCACTTTATAAATCACATGTAGGTATAAATGCACACACACACACCCATGCACGCACACGGAGGGAAGCCCAGCAAAGGAAAGAGGTGATCTGCAGACCCGTCTATCTTCCAATTTGTTGCAGAGAACGAGTAGAGCAGGAGATTGACAGTAATAGCTAAGACTTGGAGGTCAAACAATTCATAGTGATTTGGTCTTTGCAATTATCCCAAGGAACAAAAGATGCTTAATTCCACTCCATTTTATAGTTACTCTTTGTTTATCTGGGCAATGCAGTGTGAATGAGGATGATGATAATAATAACTCACAAAAATAATAGCCGGTCTCACTTATTGCCTCTGACCATGAACCAGACCCTCTCTGTGCTAAGTAATTCTCCTGTGAACAGTCACATGCACAGGGTCCTATTATTATCACCATTGAACATGTCAGCCAGGCCCTTTCTTGCTAGAACTAAAGGAACCAGCAAAGGAAAAGCCCTTTTGCTAAAAAGAACAAAAACTTGGAAGTCATTCTTCTGTCTCCTCCCCAAGTGATTTGGAAAAAAGTCAAACTATGAGAAGCAGAACTATAAAGAAAGAGAGAGAGAGAGAGAGAGCAATGGGCCGAGCGTGGTGGTTGATAATGTTCAGATATTGTCTCCTTTAATTTCCACAATAACTCTATTGGTTAGGCACCAAAATGCCTATAAAGATGAAAAACTGAGACTCTGAGGTTAAGGAACAAGGCCAAGTTCACACAGCAGTAAGAAGAGTGGAGTTTAAACCTGAGATAGAAGCCCAAGTCTGTTTCCAGCTGCCATGTCTGTTCCACTTCACCACTCATTACAAGTAGCTAAAGTCTAGCCTTCTACTGGATGCTACGATGCTAGGAAACTCTCCGACACTAAGATCAAATACTGCATCAGCACATCAACTCTGGCTCATCAGTTTTCTCACCTAAAAATAAGGAACATTTAGCTAACTCTACCATTGCAGTGAGACCCAATGGACCATAAGCTGATGACATCATTTCCTGCATTTAGTGCTTCAGGACATGACAGAATTTCATTGCAGAACACAGGCCATTCAGCTGAATTGTGAGGCGCGTTCTGTTTTCCAAAATAGCCAGTTGGTTTGATGATGGGGCATGAAAGTTATCATTTCTCTTTTCTTTTCTTGGAATTGTTCACAAGTAATAAGAAGAGTAAAAAGCAAAAGCGTGAAGTCCATTTTCATTAAAACTAGCTGTCAGCAAAAGCCCAAGCCTCAAAATACAAGAAAAGGTGGCCAAAGGTAACGGAGATGGAACAGAGGTGGTTCAAGAGGAAGCAGAGAGAGAACACCAGAGGGAGAGGACCCCATAGCCATCTCCGCTGGCTGGGGAAAAGCAAAGGCTACACAAGTGCTCCCAGAAAACTCTAGGTCGTGTGGAACTTGCCAGATAGCCTGGAATCTGGCCCCAGCCCCTCACCAGCACAAACTTCCCATAAATAACTGGTCCAGGGAAGACTCGGCTCCTGTAAAGGGACAAGCACAGGATCTGTACAAACATCCTAGAAAGATAAAAGGAGGGAGGTAACTGGAAAAATAAACAGAAGATGGAGAGAACATTTGCCAGAAAAAATGTTACCACAAAACAGACGAAAACTGGTCACCAAACTCTCATCATGAATTTAAGTACGGAAACCATTTCTTCTCTGAAGCAAGGGCCTCAAGCTGAGCTCTAAGAGCTCAGGAAAGAGACGGCAGACAACACGAGGGGATAAATGTGACCGGCAGAGGTCAGGAAAGAAGTGGAGGAAAATCAAAGAAATAAAGACAGAAAGGGAAAGAGCACGAAAGTGAGGAGACACTGATGAAAACACAGTAAGGGCTACAGGATGGAAATGAGAAAAGCAAAAAAAAAAAAAAAGCAAATAAGAAGAAATGAAACAAAAAAGGTTTTTTTAAAGAGAAAATTATATATAATTCACATATATATATACGTAGTTCATATATGTCATGTACATATATATGTAAAGTATATAGTGGAGTTCCTGAAAAGAAAACCAAATAATGAAACAAAACAAACATTAGAGAATATAATTCAAGAAAATCTTCCTGAACTGTAGGATATGAATGCACCTAGTAAAAGAGTAGGGTGTGCCCCAAGAAAAAACTGACCTAGACAGTCAACACCAAGATATGTCCTAGCACAGTTATTGGACTTCAAAGATAAGGAAGGAATACTTAGGGGCAAAAAGATCAAGTCTCTTACAAAGGGAAAACTATCCAGCTGGCCTCAGACTTCTGAGCCATAGGCAATTCTAGACGAGAGGTCACATCTCTGTCCAGCTGTGAAGGATCCATGAGCAGCGGTGCAGGAGAAGGGCAACCTTGCTGGGGGAAGCCTGGAGGGCAGTTTTCTCGCTTCTCACGACAAAGCAGGCAGCCAAGGTATCATGGAAAGGGCAGGGTCTTTAGAATCAGACAGACCTGAGCTGATCCTGACTACACGACTCGCTACCTCTGTGATCTTGGGTCATTTTACACCTTTGCACCTCAGTTTCCACGTGTGCAAACCAGGGATGAGAATTTCTGCCTCTGTACATTGAATGAAATGATACGCATCAAAGCCCTTTGCACAGGGCCAGGCACATGGTAGGTGATTAACAAAGAACTACTATTTATTTTTCGTCTTCAAAACCATCACCTCGTGCCTGAGCGGTCCCCACCCCCGAAACCCTTAGGAGGCTGGGGTGTTGGAGGAGTCCTGTCACAAAGGGTACCGTGGCCGCTTGTGGGATCCTCCCCGACATGAGCTGGAAAAGGGTCTGCAGCGGGTCGTTGAGCGCCAGCGTGCTGGTGAAACTGCAGAGAGAGGGGACCATCAGTGGGGACCACGCCAGAGAGCTTTTTACCATCACCAGCGAGGTATAAGTCCTCGTGAATTTCTATTTGATTCCTGCAGCTTCTTCTGGAAAGGGAGCTTTTCAGTTGTGCCTCTGTCACACCCCCTTTCCTAGGGAGTGAGGGATTGGCAGGATCTTTATTCTACCGCACACGCCAGGTAGATCTCATTGTTGGGGGATATTTTCTGCACCTTGGCACTGACACCCTGACTCTCGAGTAACCATTTCTGTGGGCCTTCTTCCATCACAGAGATGACCCACCAACATCTCAGAGACCCCTGGAGAGCCCTCGCAGTTAACCTGACCTCTTCTCTGTGGGTCCCTCCTGCCCAGCGACCCTCCACTCCCCTCCCCCACAGCAGCCCTCCTCCACGACAAGCCCACAGCGCTCGGTGCTGTTTTTCTGGCTCATCACTAGCCTAGGTCTGTAGTGCTTTTACTTATAAGCACTAAATAGCCATTTCAGTAACCAAAGAGGCGTAGAACAGGGACCAGAAATGATCCTGCTGATGACAAACCGTGGGATATGTCTAACAAGGATATAATAAGCTCTATAGCTGATTTGAGATTTAAGCATACTCAGTAAGAGAGATTTTTCACAATTCACTGGGCCCCATCAAAAATCAATGGCCCAAGGCAAAAATCTGTAACGGAGATGTATGCTACAACGTGGGGTTGTGGGATGTTCATTTCCAAAACCCAGAGGAAAATCGTCCCTCAGAACAGCATCTTTTATTTCATAGCACCCTTGCCCGGGAGCTCGGAGCACTTATCATAAAATTCAGTGCCCTTTGCCCTTCCGGTCTCTGAACATAATGAAGTGCACAGTGGTGTTCCTAGTCTGGGAAGACGAGGGTTAGAGGAATGAAGACGGGGGCCATCGTGAAGAACAGGCTTCTGAGAGTGTGACAGCCCTTACCCTTGCAGAACTTAGAGTGTCGCTCTCTCAGCCAGATCTCCACCCAACAGGGTTTGTGGCCGCTTCAAATATAGGTTAAGCTGAGAGGGTAGCTTCACAGCTTTAACCAACACTAGAAGATAGACATTTTGAGGTAACATCCTTCTCACCGTCCGACCCAAGCCTGCTCCTTATAGGAGGGTCCCCCCACTCCGGTCTCCCCACTGCTGCCACGTATCTGTCCTTGCCACCCATGGATACTAGAGCAGCCTGAAGGACTTACTGCAGCTCCCCCTACACCCACCATCTCCATTCGATCCTGATTCTCCTTGCTGTTTCACCCCGCTAATTCCAAACTCCTGGTTCTGGACTCACTCCATTCCTATCTTGTCCCTGTTTGGGCATTCCTCCTGGTCCAGCCTGGCTCCTGGATCTTAGTGTGCCAGCGTGATTTCTGACTAAATGCACCCCTTCAGTCTCGTCATCTCCCACTGCCCTAGAGGAAGACTTCTGGGTCTAATTCCCAGCCCTATAAACCCCTTTGCCAGAGTTTATGGTCCTGCTACCCTATCTCTACCTTCTTCTCAGCACCCACATCTGCACTGCAAGACTAAGCTGTAGACAGTTACTCACCGTCAGTCCTAAGGCTCTGTCAGTTAACCTGAAGTGATCACCTATTCCCTCACTGATGGAACTATCTAGAACAGCCCCTCCCAAAGAGAGAGGGCTACTGCAACGCAGAAACTTAATTTTTGGAAACTCTGACCCTGGGAAATACTACTAAAATCTTTTATTCAACTTAGCAGGTAGAAAGAATGTGTCTGTGTCTAGGTTGTATGAATCTGGAGAAGAGAAACGCTATGTCCAGCTCAGAAAAGAGAAATTGGAAAGATGTTTTGAGCATGGGGCTTCTCAGTGCATCTGGCACTTCTCCCCACCCTCACCCCCACCTTTGGCAGGGGGTCTCTCTGCTCCATTGGTCTCCTTTGCAAGTCCTCAACTCACCCATTCATAACCCAGCTGTAGGTCCTTGCGTCCATCTTGCTGGCCAGGAACAAAGCGTGGCCCCACAAATGGTTCTTCATGGCCCACTCCAAGGCTTCCTGACAACAGAAGCATCACATTCAGTACTGCCTTACTCGCCTTCCTCTAACAACAGCAACAAATGACTGTGCTCAGGTCCTGCCGCTCCCGAGCAGTCAGGGCTGGGCTTCCAGGAAGACTCTGAGAGCATCACAGGTGAATGTGAAAAACAATAGTGGGGAAAGAGGCCTCACTGGCACATATTTCTCTCTAAGTTGTCCCCTTCTCCAGTCTTCACTTGATCAAAATCCATTGTGCTATTTCATTAGCATGTCATGTCTCCCCCTCAAACATAGTTTCCAGTTAGCTTTATCTCTTTAGCAAGAGTCACACAACTCTTATGAATCGAAGCATCAAAAGGAAGAGAAGCACCGCACCCCTAGGACTGAGTCTCAGATCATGAGTGGCAAGATGGCATTCGTGGAGGCATGTCAAAGGATGAGTTTCTCTTTATAACTGTGGCAGAAACCACTAGTTCCTCACCAAAATCCACGTTCTCCTTCCTGCACAAAGAGTTAGACTACATGTTCCCACCTCCCCTGTGTCTAGATGTGGCTGAGTTCTAGGCGGTGGGATGGGAACGGAAGTGACACGTGCCGCTTCCGGTCTGGCCATAGACCCACCCCCACCCCCCCGCTCAGTCCTCCTTGGCCTTTTCCCCAGCCGGCTGGCTGGAATGAAGATGCTTCTGAGAAACCTTAGAGACTATGTGTTGAGATGGTAGAGCCTCCTACATCCTCAGGCCCTGAACGACGACATGGAGGAGGGCTGCCCACACGTGGAGACTTCCTGCCCAGTACTCTCACACGAATAGAAAGAAGCTATTACATTTGAGCCAGTACACATAGCAGTTAACCTGCCCACCGAACACCATAACTGTTTGTTAACTATCAAGTGCCTTCATATGCCAAATTAATGACACCATTAATGTAGCAAGATGGACTAGAACTGTAAATTTTAAAACATACACATATTCACCTTTTCATTCAATTTTCAGAACTCTTTAGTAGGGGCTTAACTTACTTGTGAGGTTTTGACCTGGTATTAATAATTTCCTTAGTGCCCCCAAATAATGTGATTTGGGGACAGGAAGTCACTAATGAGGTAATTCCACCTCCAAATGAAGATGTCTTTGATCATCTCAACATCTCCCCATGTTTTCTTATTTGACGAGAGAAGAAATTTAAACAGCCACAGGGAATTCAGCCTTACATCCAATGTAAATAAAAAATGACATTAAGAGTTACTCTGTTTGTGTGTTTAAACTATTTCATAATAGGATTTTTTTAAAAAGGAGTTAGTAATGATTGGCTGGGAATCACCAGTTTACTCAAAAATCTGCTCCTCCAAAACATATAATTTAAGAATAAGTGAAGAAATTGAGAATTTATATCGAGGCTATCAATCTCGCACAATGCCAGAAATAAGACCCCAGTCAAATATTAATAAAGCTTTTAAAGATATTTTGGTATCCAGTTCCTCATGAATCTCTCTGATCTCCCATATCTATCCCGCGCTCACCTTTGGGTCAATGTGATGACACTGGTGTGGCGGGTGGTGAGGAGCCCAAACTCAGGCATCTGACCGCCTAGATCTAAACCCCGGCTCTATCACTTACTAACTTTCCTCATCTGTAAATACCTAAAACAAGTTTAGAACCTAACTTACAGGGTTTCTGTGAAGATAAATGAAATAATGTATGTAACATGTTAAGTGAGCATCTGGCACGTAGAAAGAACTTGTTAAATTTTTGCTTTTGTTATTGTGGTGGTGGTGGTCATTATTTATCTTTCTAAAGGGATCATCACTGATATATCTCTGTGTCCCCCACTGGATTCAATACCTTAGAAGTAGGAGCTGCTTAATAAATATTTATTGAATAAGTAAATCACTGGTGAAATTGCAAGTCTCTACTACATAGTGAATATATATATATTGCTGTTTCACCTATATATATATATATATAGGATGGCTATAATTTGATCCCACTAATTTTCACTGAGTATCATGTCTAACACTCATTTAAAAGATAACATCATAGGGGCTGGCCCCATGGCCGAGCGGTTAAGTTCGCACGCTCCGCTGCAGGCGGCCCAGTGTTTCGTTGGTTCGAATCTTGGGCGCGGACATGACACTGCTCATCAAGCCACGCTGAGGCAGCGTCCCACATGCCACAACTAGATGGACACACAACGAAGAATGTACGGCTATGTACCGGGGGGCTTTGAGGAGAAAAAGGAAAAAATAAAATCTTAAAAAAAAAAAAAGATAACATCATATACCAAAAAACCCAGAGATTAAAGATTTAAATGAAGTACAAAAGTACTTCAACTTTGGGGCTGGCCCCGTGGCCGAGTGGTTAAGTTCACGCGCTCCACTGCAGGCGGCCCAGTGTTTCGTTGGTTCGAATCCTGGGCGCGGACATGGCACTGCTCATCAAACCACGCTGAGGCAGCGTCCCACATACCACAACTAGAAGAATCCACAACGAAGAATATACAACTGTGTACTGGGGGGTGTTGGGGAGAAAAAGGAAATAATAAAATCTTTTAAAAAAAAAAAAAAGTACTTCAACTTCATTTTCATAAATTCATTTTGAAGTAGGAAAAGTCTTTCTAAATATGGCCCCCCCAAATTAGATTTTGGACAGACAGTCATAAAAAAAATAAAGAGCTTCTACAAATCAATAAGTGAGGATAAAAAACCCAACAGAAAAATGTGGAAAATCCATGACAAAAAAATTCACAGATTAAAAGATATTCAACTTCATTTACAACAAGAGAAATGCAAATAACTACACTAAATTATATATTTTTTTCACCCCACAGATGGGCACATATCAAAAGACTGGAAACACAGAGGGTTGGTGAGAGTGTGGGAAAACAGGGAGCCTCGTACAGCACTGGTAGGGTACGGGTCATCCTCTAGAAAGGCAATTTGTCACTATCTATCAAAATTACAAACCACATACCCATTGACCCAACACCTCCACTTCTAGAAATCTCTCAGAGATAGAGTCCGTCACACTGGGCAAAATGACAATGGTTCTTCACTCCAGCTGTTGTTTGTAATAGCAAAAGACTGGAAAGAATCTAAACATCAATCTAGAGGAGTTTGGTTAAATTAATTATAATTTATCTATAGAAACCTGTGTGGCTATAAGAAATAGTGAGGAAGGTATTTATATATAAGGAACAGGGGTCAGCAATATGTGGCCTGAAGGCCAAATTCAGCCCACTGCCTATTTTGGTAAAGCCCACAAGCCAAGAATAGTTTTTACACTTGTAAGCGATTGGAAAAAATTAAAAGAATAGTATTTCATTATCCATGAAAATTATATATAATTGAAATTTCTATGTCCATAAATAAAGTTTTATTGGAACACAGCCGCACCCATTTATTTACACAGTGTCTGTGTCTGCTTTCACACTACAAGGGCAGAATTGAGTAATTACAACAAAAACACTATGGTCTACAAACCTGAAAATATTTACTGACTGTCTTTTTACAGAAAAAAATTTGCCAAGCCACTATATTTTCTAAGATATTTTTTTAATAAAAAAGAAGTTAAAGAGGTGGTAATATAGTATGCTATAAGAAAAAAAAAGAGGAAATAATTGGATATACGTAAAATATCTCTGGATATTTCAGAGAGAGAAATTGAGTGGCTAGGGGTGGGAGCATCATGGCCCCTATTATATCTTTTATCTTTTGATTTTTGAATCAAATTGATTTTAATCATATATTCAAATATTTAAGTTTGCTTTAAGACTTTTCTGAAATGTGAGTTCAACTTCAACTTTTAAAAAGTCATTTAAAAATCGGTAAACGTGAGGTGGTGGATGTGTTAACTCAGTCGGGGAATCCTTTCACAATATATACATATATCAAATCATCACAGTGTACATTTCAAATATCTTCCAATGTTATCTGTCAAATATGCCTCAATAAAAATTTTTTTAATAAAAATAGCCCAATTTATACATCAAAAAATTAAACGAAGCATCATTCTTCATCTGTTGAATTAAAGTATTCAATATTGATAGGCATTCCTTAGATATAGCTAGTGGGGGTATCATTTGTAAACAAACTTTCTGGAAACTAATTTAGTGTATATAGGAAGAACATTTTAAAAGTGCATACCCTTTAACCCAGTAATTTCACTTGTAGGAATCTATCCTAAAAAAAATAATAAAAAGATCTGCCAATGACTTATGTAACAAGATGTTCAAAATGAATAATTTATAATGGGTGACAAAATTGTAGCTAGCCTATATATTCAATAGTGGATTGATTAAAAAAAATATGATACACTCATGCAATGGAATATTGTCCAACCATTTTTTTAAGTGATGCATTTTAATGCCATGAGAGTATTTCACCACATAATCTTAAGTGAAAAACAGAAATAATTGTGTATGTAACTTAATTTGATTTTTAATATATATGCATAGAAAAATGCTAGAAGTAAATATATCAAAATGTTAACAGGCACGATTATTTAATGGTAGACTGTGGATGTTTTTTTCTTTGCAGCTTTCTGAACTTACAGTGCTGTAAAATGAGTATCTGGTACTCATATAATTGGGAGAGGGGGGAGTAGTGGGGATGGTGGTGACTTTTGAAAAACAGCGTGCGGGGGCCCTGACTTGCCTTCTTCCTTCCATAGTACAGCAGCTTAGTGAACTTCTCCACGATCTGCGCAGGCGTCTCCACGCTGGGGGGAATCTCCCCGGTGAGCAGGTTCCGGCTCCCCGAGCTCAGCACCGGCCAGTCCTCATCGGTCAGGTTGATGAGGTTGGCCACAGCGGGCTGCCTCTTGTACTTCTCCAGCTTCTTGCAGTCTTGCATCAGCAGCTCCGCAATGTCAGACCCCACCATGGACTGCAAGGCAAAGAGAGACAGACATCCTGAGGAACACTGCTGTTCGTCCCCACGCTGGCAGCGCAGGCTGAGAAAGGAGGCGCCAGATCACCTGCCTCCTTCATGAGGAGGCCAACAGGCAAACACAAGGCAGTCCTTTCTTGGATTGCTGTATTTCAAGCTGCAGCTTCATTCTCATGGTTATTCTCTGCCTGTCAGAGGCCACAAAGGTTCTGTGAAATATTCACACTCTCACAGGTGTATTACTTGGTTGGGGCGGTAACCCAAGAACCGTACAATAACCCCAGGCCACGGCAGAGGGCAGCGGAAAGGTTAGCAGTAGCAGACTGGCATTGCCATCTGAGCAATTTTTCCCTTGAGGCCATTTGTTGCTTCTTTAATATCACCTTTTATAATCATCCCATAAGCCGAATCTTATCCGTCCCGGGAAGACTTCAACTTCATCTCAGCCTGCCTGTGCCCACGCGTCAGGGCGGTGACACTCACCCCATTCTGCCGACAAAGAAGAACCAACAGCCGCCACAGCAGAGCCGAGTCTCTGCTCCCCAGTGTGTCAGTTCTGCAGCTCTGAGCTGCTTTCTGCTGGCAAAACGTCATGATATCCACCTTGTGTACGTCTTCCCTGGGGAGAGATTCAGGGAGCAAAGAGTGAGGGGCAGACGGTTCCCCGTACAGGGCCGCTGGCCCCTCCCACAGCGTGAGGGCGCCGGGGGCGCTGGGACTGAGGTGCAAGTCTGACAACCCGGGACTGGGGAATGAGCCTCTGGCTACAGGCTAGTTGTTTCCTCGTAGAACGGGAGGGGACTCCAGACATTCTCTCACACACCCTCTCCATTTTCCGGATGAGGAGGCTGATGCCCGGGTACCGGAAATGACTACAGAAGGTAGCAGGTCAAAGCACAGACTTTGGAGTTAGATACCCCGGGCTTAAATCTGGCCTGCGCTTCTAGGCTTACACGATCTCTTCTCTCCTCTGAGCCTCAGTTTTTCCCCCTAAGATAGGGATAATTTTTTTTTTTAAAGATTTTATTTTTTCCTTTTTCTCCCCAAAGCCCCCCGGTACATAGTTGTGTATTCTTCGCTGTGGGTTCTTCTAGTTGTGGCATGTGGGACGCTGCCTCAGTGTGGTCTGATGAGCAGTGCCATGTCCGCGCCCAGGATTCGAACTCACGAAACACTGGGCCGCCTGCTGCGGAGTGCGCGAACTTAACCACTCGGCCACGGGGCCAGCCCCAAGATAGGGATAATTTTTAAAAAATCTATCTCCATACAAAAAGGCCTTAGCAAATTGTGTGGCATATTTGAAGTGCTCAATAAACGGGCATTATAATTTACTCCAGATCATCCCATAAAATCAACGCCAAGTTGGGCCCAGTACTCCAGTGTCAAAATACCCAACTCGTCTGTACCCCACATCTGTGTACCTGTGTGGAAGAAATGGAGACAACACTCATTTTCACTAGAAGGAACTGTCAAAATACTATGTGGGATTTTCTTGGAGGAGGAGATTCAGGATAAGAATACATTTATATAACAGTGATGATATTTAAAGGGCTTCCACGTGCATAGTCACTGCCTGGAGTAGGCACAGCCGGTTTTACATCATTTCTTAAACAGAAAACTAAGGCTCGGAGACGGCTAACTGACCTGTCCGCCATGGTACCTCTAGTTAGCAGGGTACCTGGGCCTAGGACCCAGGTCCTCTGACACAGGCCAGGACTCTTCACAACAATGGCCGCCCTAAATACTTAGCAGAAATGACTAGGAATTTAAAAGCAGTTCTAACTCAATCCTGCAGAGGGCAGACTTGCACACTATCCAGTAACAAACTGACCGTGTTCTCTCTAGAACAAGGCAAGAGCTTTTTCCACTGTGATCCATTTGACTATGATTTCCCAGGCTGTCCTCCGCTTTTCCATTAATATCTATTAAGTACACGGAATGCTAAAACTTCCTGTCATGTAGCCCCTGCAAAATGGAACTGATTTCAGATATTTAAACCTTTAAGTTAATTTTTCTTTCTGCCCTTCAACTATCGAATTGCTTGTCAAAATGGCTCAGGCCACATTGAGCTCTATCTTGTAGCACAGAGAATTCTGCTCCAATGGGGATAGACATTTTCTTTCCAGGAAGCCGAGAACAAATCCCAAAATGCTGTTCTGGAAACATTTGCTGTGCCGGAAGATTCTGCAGCTTTCAAAAGCCCGTACTCGGCAGCTCGTATGGCAGTTTACCTGATCAGGGGTCCTGAGAAAGTCCTCATCTCTTCTTGTTCCTCAGAATCATTTAGAATAATCTGGAACAAAAATAAGATTTGGTCTTCAAGACTATGGCCACTCAATGCTCCTTTCAGCCAAGTCTAGTATCAGAAGCCAAGCCGTGGTCCTAGGATGTGGCTCAGTGCCTCATGGAGAAAGCAGAGGATGAAAGTGAGTTCTCCAGTTGCTGAAAATGAGCCAATAGCATATCAGGAAAAACATAAGTCTAGCATCACTTCTTTCAGAGAAGAGCCCCACCCATTCCTTCACACACATACACTCCCCAATCCACAGGGTGCATGGCCCAGCTCCCCATGAGAGCACCCCGTTCCTGGAGATGCCCAGGCTCAGGTAAAGGGAAGCAGGGAGCAGCGTGCTGGCATTCCAGGGACACCAAATCTTGTTTACCTCCATGCTGTGCAGTTCAACAAGGGCCGTTTGTCCATCACGGGGAGAGCTGGGACTCACACACACCAGCTGACCTCCTGGTCCAAAACTCACAGGCACATGAGGGACATAGAACTTCATGGGTGCCTTGGGACCAGCTGCCGAGACTTCCTCTGACCAACAGACACAGGTGGACATTGTGAGCATTACTGGCACTGCTCTTTTTTACTTTAGAAATAGACCACAGACACCTTTCTGTCCAAATTCCATCTGGGACCAAGATAAGATTCTGGAAGGGCTACATCATTATAAGAAGACCATGCTCCAAGTCAGATTTAAGCCTCTAAGACTATGTCAGAATATAATGCAAGGATTTGATGGTTTGGTCCAAATTATAATGCATCAGGCCCAGACTCTCAGTGACAGTGAGAGGCTGGGGACTCGCTGGCTTTCATAGCCCCGATACTCCTGACGAGTCTCCTATATCCAGACAAAGCAGTTACGCCCTGTGGGCTGCCTTTGCTTTACCACCTTGACTCCGGTCTTCACTGTCTTCGCCTGGTCCTTAAAAGTACCTCCGAGGGCCTCCTCTCCCAGCCTGAAGATGGCTAGGGGCACTGTTCCCTTCCAAGAATCAGCTGTGATGCAATATCCAGTTCAAGAGAAAAGGTGGGAAATGGAGCCAAAGTTGGCCTCTCTGCCCAGGAGACCTACATAAGCAAATGAGGTGGACAATGATCCACTCTGGGAAACACAGGCTAGGGGCGACTTTCCAAGAGACTTGCCACCCAACCCTCTTCTCATCAGACTCAACCAACTCCTTTGATCTCTTCAGGACCCACCAGCCTGAATGGGACTCCAAGCTGCTGAAGCCATGCGGTCATACGGCTCAGAGGCATCTGCCATGTACTGACTGAGCTCATAGCTGCTGGAGCTGAGACCAGACTCGTGCTGCCGGAGAAGGTTGGACTCGTCGGTCAGTGATGACTGAGAGTTAAAAACAATGAGAACATAGGAGAAGAATCAGAAGCAGTTTTAAAGAGATGGTTCTCCCAAGGGTTCCTCCAAAGCAACAAAATTCAAACTTTCAAATAAATACAGTTAAGGTGGATGTATTGAAAGGAGAAGAAGGGATAATTCAACTGACATGTGTTTGCTAAAGGATCCATTATGTCCTAGGGGAATGAGTGCAGGTCCGGTGGCCTGAATTCAAATCCCAGCTTTATCAACCCTTAGCTGCTGTGACTTTGGACAAGCGACTTAGGCTTTCTGAGCTCAGTACCCTCATCTGTAATATAGCTATCACATCTGCCCTCTACAGTTCAAGTACGTACTCGTGCATTCATTCACCAACTATTTAATGAGCACTCACTATGCTGCAGGCACCGTCCTTCCCCTGACGATACAGGTGTATGAGAAATTCACGCATCCTGGGAGGGTACAAATGAAATAATGGATGCAAAAGCTCTCCGTGCACTGTAAAGTGCTGTACACGTGTGTGGCTGCTGTTATTGTGGTTGTCACTCTTAGTCACATGAGATGTGCCCTGCCCTGTTCAGCATTAGGTATACGGAAGAAACTGTTCTCAAAATCATGTAAATCCAATCAGGGAAAGAAAATTAACACAAGACTGTCAAAAATTAAAGAGCTGGTTTCTATAGTATCTTTGCAACTTTTCTGTAAATCTAAAATTATTCCAAAATAAAAGTTTATTTTTATAAATTTAAGATCTCCAAATTAAAGCCCAGCTGGTACACACAGTAAGATTTTAGAAGAGATGGAAAAGTCAAGAAAGGTTTCAACCTCTGCTTTTCAGACCTAAATTAAAAGATTCTTGCAACTCCCTGGGTAAACCCAATTGCTAGTCCACTGGAGTATTGGTGGCAGCCTCTTCTCCTCTTTCCCAGCACCTTGGAGTGACTTGGGTGACATTTCCTGATCCAGCCAACTTGACATAAGTGCAAAAAGGTCAGATCAGGGCCCCAGACCCACAATACTGAGACAAGAACGCAGGGAAAGGAGGAGGTGGGAGTTGAGGCTCTGCCAAGAGAGGAGGAATGGGACCTCTCAGACTGATGGCCGCTAGAGACCCCCATCCCCAAGGGCCCTGCCCTCCCACCACTGACGATGTCAGTTTTGATGCACTGTCACAGGCCACCAACCCCCATGTCACTTCAGGTTACCTTATTCTTCTGGGCCCCAGTTAGCAGACTTTCTGGAAGCAGGTCCCCAGGCCTCTCCTGTCCAGAGTTAGAAGCAGGACTGTCTTTATAAGAGTTCCGACTCTGAGATCTGCAGCAAAATGACAGGAGCAGATGAGAGGGGGTCCTGGGCAAGCCAGCAAGGCTGAGCTGCTCTCTGCTGGAGGCTGTTCTTCTGCACCGGCAGGTGTCAGGTCAGCCTGTGTGCCACAGCAAAAAGCACTGTCCTGCTGTTCAGCTCCTCAATCTATCAACACCAGAAAAACAGGAGCTCCTGGGTTCAATACTGCAGTTGCTAGAAGCGGCCCCAAACCCCGTAGAGAAGGGTTGGCCTCTGCAGCCCGACAGCCAGGAATGGCTTTTATGGGAGGAGCTGGGTAGGTGAGTTCCAAGAAGGGTAAAGTCACCAGGCCTAAGGGCACCAGGACAGGTACTTGCGCAAAAGACACTTCCCTGCTCGCCTCATCCCACTCTTGGGGCACAGGAGTGGGCAGAGGAGAAGCACCCCAGCCCCAGGCAGGACCCAATCATGAGGACGTTTGCAAGGCCACATCTGTTCTGAGGCCAACGTAAATTAAGGCCCTCCGTTAGGATGGACCTCAAGTAACCTCCCAGGACTCGGACTAGCCCAGGTGTGGGAACTTCCTCTCAGAGTTAAGCATCTCTCCTCCCAGGGTCCCTCTTAAGAGTCCCAGGCCATCCTAGGCTATTCCCATGTCCCTGTGGCCAGAACAAAAGCAACAAGGCATCCAGAGATGAGGGACCAGCACCAGATGCCATAGATTTGCCTAACATAGTCTGAGTTTGGCTGAATCGTGTTGAACTAGCCTCTCCTTTCACACTTACTGGAACCGGGTCTCACTGTTTGTTCCAAACAGATTATTCTGGGTTTCATGATGATGTTCATTGAGGTACTTTTGATCTTGATAATCCTCATGCCAGATATAAGGACTCCCTTGCCTTGGCACTGCACCCTCAGAGAAAACAAAATAAAGACAGGTCACTTCCTCTTCCTAGAAGTTCAGAAAGACACTAGCAAGCTGTGAGGCTGTTATTGGTATAAAAACGTATTTGCCAAATGGAATAAAATTGACAAGTGAGAGCTACCAATGAAAGTCCATAAATGCCCCTCAGTTCTCTCTGAACCAATAGCATGGCTTTGTACAACTGTACAACGGTGGGGATCGTGTGTGTGTGTCTATTTGTGTTTTCTATGTTGAAACAGATTTCGCTTTGCCAGCAGGTCAGAAGCTGCCATTAGCACATACCTAAAGCCTTACTCTTGGTGTAGGGTATAAATTTCTATTGGTGCATTTCTGCCACCCTCAAGGTAAATAATGGTCAGACTCATTACAGCTCAGCCACACACTGGATGACATCACCGTTAAGAACTGACTTCACTGTTACTTGGTCAGAGACTATAATCTTGGCTATAATCAGGAGCAGAACAAAAGATGTGGATGAAGTACAAACTATCCACAATACTAGTAACATAATGATAGTTTCAGTACTACCATCTACATGTACAAACAAAAATGACTCCTTTCTATCTCTTCTCCTCAGGACATCTAGCAGCAGTGTCTTTGTCATGGCCTGGTCTGGCCAAGAAAGAAGCAGCTGGGGGCAGGAGCTGTACATCAGCCGAGCAGGATGCCCAAGCAGAGGCTCTGAGCACGGCTCCTCTGGCCTCTGCCCTGCCTATCAGACCAGCCGCACCATCCCAAAGGCTTCTTGGCGATTATTCCATACCTCTTTCTTCCTGTAGCTGCCGTGGATATCCATGGTAATAATAACTTGCATAAGCATATTCTTCCCTTGGGGTTGGAGAATGATAGCTCTGATATGGATCCTCGATGCCTGGCCTAAAATAGCACAAAGAAGGCTGGTCATTCAAGGATGAGTGTGGTAAAGAGAGAAACCATTGGAGGACTTGACAAACTAAACAATTTTAGAGGACAGAATTACTACCCCACTCAAAAATCTGCTTTAAGGGGCCGGCTCCGTGGCCAAGTGGCTAAGTCCACACGCTCTGCTGCAGGTGGCCCAGTGTTTTGTCAGTTCGAATCCTGGGCACGGACATGGCGCTGCTCGTCAAGCCATGCTAAGGCGGCGTCCCACATGCCACAACTAGAAGGACCCACAACTAAGAATATACAACTATGTACCGGGGGGCTTTCGGGAGAGAAAGGAAAAAAAATAAAGTCTTTAAATAAAAAAAAAAAATCTGCTTTAAAACCACAGTTAATTCTAGATCCTATAAACACAAAATTCAGAACCAGAGCAGGAGTAGGACCTCTGTTTCAGAACAAGGCTGGAATTTTTATAGCAAAACCGTAGCCAAGTGTCTCATTCTCCTTCCCCATGATCCCGCTTTCTCCTCAAATACACACATCCAATGTTATCTTAGAAAACACTGCCCTGATATTATCTTAGAAAACCCCTTCCTGGGATGACGATATAAGTGCTCAATATGCCATCGTAATTCCCATGCATATCGCAGATGGAAAGAGATGAAAAAGTTAAGTTGGACTACCTTAAATCTGATTGCTTTTAACACCTCTGAGTTTAACCTATCTTCCTTCGAGAACTCAACAATACAGAAAGATTGGGGAAAGGAACATCCTGTTGTTAGTGTTTACACCAATTAATAATTCTTTAGTATTTCATAGGGGCAAAATTCTTTACAATAATTGTCATAATTTGAACCCTAAATCTGTAGGCAGGTAAGTATCACCCCACCTCAAAAGCTTAAGTATAACATAGATGGCTTACAATATTCCATAAAATATTAAGTCCAGTGCTATCAGTCAGAATTAGGAGCAGAAATTCCAGATTCTCCCAGAACAACCTCACCGAGACCTCTTCATTCTGAACTTGAAGGCTGCACGCTTCTATCTGCTTTCTCAGAGGCTGATTTTTTCTAAGTTCCCTTTCCTTCATTCCACGCTTGTTGTTCTGTTTGCCCATCACTCTAGGTACTGTCCCAGGCACCACAGCTCTTCGTGGTGCTGGTGGTGTCACGCTCCCCCTGGGTCAGAGTCATCCAAAGATGGCACAAAACTCTGTTTAGGAGGAAAGGCTTTTCCATAGTCTACAAACATTGCCTTTTGCAATCCCAGAGTAAGAGGGACCCCTGTGCCATCTTGAATTTCACTGTTCTTACCCTCTCCCCAGCCCCCAACACCCAATCACATTATGATGGCTTCCTTAAGAAGCCCCACTAGGGGATACAGAGGAGGGAAATACTATCTTCAGTCGCCAAAATCCAATTTGGGAGGGGAAAGGGTTTAGCTAAGTCAAAGTCGGAGGGTAGAGAAGGAAAAAGAAGAAAAAGAGGAGAAATAAAAGGAAAAGGAAGAAGGAAAAGAACAATCTGTTCATAAGCGTTTAGGAGAGTTGGGTCAATTCCAAGCTCTAAAACCGTACCTTGAATACACCTGACTGGGATAATAACCTTCATAATAGTCAACCCCAGACCCAGGCTGATGCCACTCGCCAGGCCTGGATGCATAAGGAGGCTGCTGGTGGTCTGCCCTGGGGTCCTGCTGTGGCTGGGGGCTCTGGCGGATGTCTTGCCATTGCTGGAACCTCTCTCCATCGTGCCAAGAGCGAGGAACAGGCCGATGATATCCATCTCTCCAAAGCCCTCGGTCTGGATCCTTTGACGGTGCTGTGGGCCACCCCCGGGGCCGAGGTGGCCACTGGGGGACCCAAGGTTCCATCCTTGACTCTCAGAATTTCTCTCGTGTTTTGAGTCAGTCGTATAGTTATTTTATCTTCCTGTAGACAAAACAAAAAGACAAAAAAATTATCATCATTTTAGGCCTATATCCAAATGTGATGGTTGATTAGGTTTGATGAAAAAAGCACCTGTGAGCCTCAAAATCTTCTATCTAAAACAAACCACATGGGCACTGATACAGAGATATCTGGGAAAAAAATCTCAGGCAGATACATGAAATAATTAACAGGCTAGACGATTACGTTGATGTGGCTTAAAAGATGTTAAAGTCTATTTGGAGCAATAATGGATGTGGGAGGCGTGGGAGACAGAGAAGAGAAACTCCAAAACACCGTCAAAGCATTCCAGTTAAATAAGCGTTTGTTCATTTACTCCACCAGCAAATATTTATTCAACACTTCCCAGGGAGGCCCCATGCTATCAGAGAAATAGAGTGGGCCTTGGAAAGAGTTCAGATCCTTCAAAGACCAGAGTTCAAATCCTAACTCTGCCACTTACTAGAAAATTAATTTTTTCAAGCCTCCATCAAGAGATAAGGTAGGAGGGGCTAGCCTGCTGGCGTGGTGGTTAAGTTCGCACACTCCGCTTTGGTGGCCCAGGGTTCGCAAGTTTGGATCCTAGGCATGGCCCTACCCACCGCTCATCCAGCCATGCTGTGACAGGCATCCCACATACAAAATAGAGGAAAATCGGCACAGATATTATCTCAGTACCAATCTTTCTCACCAAAAAAAAAGGAGATATATGAAAATTGCCCAAAACACTGCCTGGTAAACAGTAATCATTCAATAAATAGTGGTGTTATCAGAGATAAAGACAGGGTAGTGTGAGTGGCTAAAGACATTTTAAACAAAAAGAAACTTAAATTGACCTCGGAGACCTCTTTTCTAAATCCTTAAATTAACCTCTTAGAAAAACTAGGCCCTACGATGTGGGCACGCCTGCCCCTCTAGGTTTGGGATTGCTTACATGAAAAACCAGAGAGTCACGTCTCAGTCATCTTCCTGGCTGGAGATTTTTAAACCCTGGAATTCTCCCCAAATCAAACTAATATTCTCCACTTATCCTCCAAAATGGGACATAGCGCCAGAGCATGGATTGCCTCCCGAGCTCGTCTGCCCACATCAAGAGGAGCGCCTGCCTCCAGCTGCTCCCAAAAGGCAAGCACACAGACCCCACCCCGGCTGGGGGATCCTCCTGTGTCAAGAACACACGTTAGCTCAGTCAGACCCCGCGTTTTTTCTCCCTGGGACTGTTTTCGGTTGCAAGATTCTCCTTGAATCCAGTTAACTTGCTCCCGCTCCTGAAACTCCCAGACTAATATAAAAATTCTTGTTGGAACAAAAGGTCAAAGGGTGTGTGTCGAAATCAAAACGTCACTCTGCTTGAATGCCATGGAGCCGGGGTCCACAGCTTTGAGCCAAGAGCTGTAAGCAGAACATGCCAGAAGAGCAAGGCGCAGAAGTGACTTCCACTTCAACATCAATCACGGTTCAGGGAGCTGGCACTTTCCTTCCGTGTCAGCCCACTTCCTTGAAAAAACCAGGTGCAAAAAAGCTTTTTCCAGTAAACCCCAGCAAAGGCCAAATGCCCCAGACACAGGAAAAGGGTGAGTAGTTCTTCCCTGGAGGCCCACGGAACTCGGCACCGTTTGGACGCAAGTAATCTTAACAAGAAGGAAGCCTCTTTCACCTTGTCCCCACGTATTTTCATCAGCCAGCCTTCCCCGACTGCAAAGGCACAATACCGGATCTCTCCACCAGAATCACATCATCTTGTTGCCAAGATGTTTCAACTCCAGTAGGTTAGACCTCGGATTATAATTAAAGACACCAAGAGAAAAGCACCACAGACTCTCAAAATGAAGGAACTACGTCTACGTTGAGAAGTCTCACACGTGCATTCACGTAAATGACCTTCCCTGGTCCCAGGAAGAGTAATATCGCCTTTCCTAATCTACAGCACAGCAAGCACAGCTAAAAGAAAGAAAACAACGGAACCAGCGCTCCCACACACCTGCTCTGACGGCTCCCCACCTTCCTTCGGCACAGCTCCGGAACCTGGCCCAAGAGTGTCTCCTCTCCTCTTGGAGACTGTCAAAGTCCGAGTGCCACATCTACCAAGACTTACCTGGCCCTCAGATCTACAGCCTGGCAGTTACCTTTGCAACCGCCCGGCCTCCAGGGAGCTGATTCACTAGGGCAAAGTACAGCTCAGTTACCTCAGTCTGGAACTGACGTGACTTGACATATTTGCTCAGAACACTGTCGGAGACTCGTGTTTCTGTTTGCCCGGTCGAGGGCTGAACCAGACATACTCACATGAGAAAGGATCCAAACCCCACACAAACAAGGAACAGGGACATGAGGAGAGGACATCCAGAAAGCCCTGAGGCAGCCTGGCCTGGTGAGAGGGGAACCATCTTTGGGCTGTTGACTCATGGCTCTCCCACTGGCTGGCTCTCTTACTTAACCTCTCTGAGTCTCAATTTCTTCTTCTCTGAAAGGAGAATAACAATGCTTAGCGTATCAAGGTCAGTATGAGGATTAAATGTTGGTAAAATGGCACCTGATATATAAATATGTATGCTCTATACATAAGTAGTATCTTTTCCTTTCAAAAGAGATAAGCTATTCCACTGAGTGAGGCAGGGGTACTCACAGGTGGGGAATAAATACCCGCTTTGTCTGGTTTGGGATTTTTTCATCCATGTTTCTATCCACTGGGTTCTGGTTGTATATCAACTGTGTTATCCAGATGGAAGGCAAATTCCAAAGCCCAATATTGAACTGAAGGCACTGAAAAGTTTTCTCTCACAACAAGAAAATACTTTTCATGTTCGAAAAATGCATTTTTTCATCATTATTAAGGTAAACACAGAGAAACTCGTGTCTACTTTTGAGTTACTATTTAAAATTCAGCAAATCATCATGTTATTACACCTTTAACTTACACAGTGTTATATGTCAATTACATCTCAATAAAGCTGGGAAAAAAATAAACAAAATTTAGAATTTGCTCTAAAAAGGCCAAAATAGTCTATTCTTTTTTTCAACAAACACTTACTGAGTCCCTACTGTGTGTCATGATTTGACACACATAAATACATAAGACACAGTCCTTGCCCTCAAAAAAGCTTCGAGCAGTGGCTGGCCTGGTGGCATAGTGGTTAAGTTCGTGCACTCTGCTTTGGCTGCCCGGGGTCACAGGTTTGGATCCCAGGCACAGACCTATGCTACTCATCAACCATGCTGTGGTGGTGACCCACATATAACGTAGAGGAAGATTGGCACAGATGTTAGCTCAGGGCTAATCTTCCTCAAGCAAAAAAAGAGGAAGATTGGCAACAGATGTTAGCTCAGGGCTAATCTTTCTTAGCAAAAAAAAAAAGCTCGGAGCAAATTCACTTCTCATGTTGTTACTAGTCCAGGGAAGACCACATGGTTGGTCTCGTGGTCAGATCATGTAATGAACCTAAACTATATGATTTTGTCTCAGATCCTCAACTGACTCCTAGGACCTGACAACTGAGTGCAGAATTCTCTGACTGTGGCTAAGGATTTCTTACCCCACTGGTAGGCTGTGAAACTTGTCTCATTAATGGCTACACTGCCACTTTTAATCCTCCTGGGAAGAGATAACTGGAGAAGGGCACACACCTTAAAAACAGAAATCAGGGGGCCAGCCCGGTGGCGCAGCGGTTAAGTTCACACATTCTGCTTCTTGGCAGCCTGGGGTTCGCCAGTTCGGATCCCGGGTGCGGACATGGCACTGCTTGGCACGCCATGCTGTGGTAGGCGTCCCACATATAAAGTAGAGGAAGATGGGCACGGATGTTAACTCAGGGCCAGGCTTCCTCAGCAAAAAAAGCAGAGGACTGGCAGTAGTTAGCTCAGCGCTAATCTTCCTCAAAAAAAAAAAACAGAAATCAAAACTTGATTGATTATGACACAAACTCAGATATCAAATTATGTGCTCTGATATGTCACAACAACATTCATGAGAGTCTGCTGTAACCCTTTTGACTTATAAGGTGATGTTAGTCCTGCCCCTATAACACCAGCTACATTACCAGAATGTTAACTTTGGAGGGCACCTTAGAGGTTATTTTAGCAACTTCACTTTATTGATAATAAAACTAATATCCAGAGAAGTGAAGTGATTTACCCAAGATCACAAAGCTAACTAGAAGCTCAGGCAGCATTATATTGGTGTGCTGGAGTTAGCTCGCACCAGAATTACAAGAGCTGATTATTAAATATTCAGGAATCGTGTGTACCGATAGTTAAAACATTGGTAATTTGAAATCCACCATATGGGAATATTTACACAGAAATTGGCAAATGCTACAAAGCAAGGTTGTTGTTTTCAGAAAGCCAGTTTACCAGCATCCTGCTTATAACCCCAAACTCCTGGTACCTAATTCAGTGTTCTTTCAACTACAGAATTGTCATTCTGTGACTAGCCTTCATTGCACATCTCTAGTTGAAACATCTAGCCCAGTTATTCCAAATGCTCCTTTTGTGACATCCCAAAGCATCTCTAATTATCTCAAGAGTTATTATGAAACTCTTCAAACATTCACTAACCAAGATTAATTTTAATTAGCTTTAATTATTTTATATAGACATATGGCATTCAACAGTTATATGGGTCATGGAATGAAATAGGTTGTAGTGGGATCTTATCACTCCAAAAGGCTTGGGATTTATTTATCAGTCCCTGCTTTCCCCAGTCCCACATATCTACAGTTACTAAGTCTTTCAACTTGGGAGCTCAATTCCTCCTGATTTCCAATCAAATGTATCCAGCTTGACAGTACATGAGCAGCTCCTCTCCACCAAGAGATAGGCTACAATCAGTTTTGCCACCCCAAGTCCTGGTTGCAGTTCCCTCCCTGGTGCCAGAACAGCTATAGTCTTTATGGGATCCCTCCCCTGAGTGTCCTGTCCTCATGCCTGACTCCTGCTTTGCATCCCAACTAGTCACCAGAATTGGAGCCCTGGCCCCTTGCTGAATTTCCTTTCCCAGACCCTGCTCCCCTTTCCAAATGCCAAACCACTGAGAAGATCTTGCATCAAACAAGAGTACCTACCCTAGTTTGACATCTAACAAAATTACCATCACTACTAATGATGCTGCTAATCCCTACCCACCAGGTCAACACTGCTGGATGTGATCACCTACCTAGATCCAGGTCAGCTTTGCCATGAATCCTGAGCACTATGACTTAATGACTAGTTACACTTGCAAGGGACAGCTCAGCAGTTGAGACATCCCTCAGACTTGATCTCATTCCTCTACTGAAAGTAAAAATTTAGAAAACAAACCAAGAGGCTCTCTGTCAGCAGGTTAACAGCAATTACTCCAGTCTGGGTGATGGCATTGTGGATGATTTTGTTTCTCTCTTCTTGCTTGTCCGTATTTTCTAACTTAATTTTCTACAATAAGCATGTATCATTTTGAAAGACAAAAATCAACATTATTTTTAATCAATACTATATCCAAATGTGGTACTGTCACATCATTAAGTAATTACGCACCCAAGTTGCTAAAATGGGGCAACGACTCCCTAAAGAGTTCGAGATTAGTTAACTGTGCTCACACTGCTCTTCTAGAAAGAAGATTCTGGAAATCATGCACTAAACAAATGTTTATGGAGCAGCCACTCTATGCCCAGCATTGTCACATGCATTGATGATACAAAGATAAATAACATACAATCTCTGTCCCAAAGAATCATTCAGTCCAGTGGAGCAGCAGACACTCAAATATGCAATCCTTATGCAATGCAATCACTACTCTATGGATATATCACTGATTTTTCTAAAGGAAGGATGCACAAGAGAAGGCACGAGAGTAGAAACCGGGAGGTGTGCTGTTCAAGGTTATTCCTGACAGAGGAACACCTGAACTAGGGCAGCTGCAGAAAGGCTGCAGGAGAGGGGAGGGAGAAATATATACGTATACACATATTATATGTTTATAAAATAGAATCAACATGAACCCACACTCTGTTGAACGTAGAAAATGAAGGTGAAGGAGAAGTGAAGTCCAGCTCCATTTTCAGGCTGTAAAGAGGGGACCACGCTGCCTTTTTTTGGATAATCCTCTTGGAAGAAGAACCGCTTTGGTAGGGAAGAAGATGGCTCCAGTTTTGGACATGCTAATTGTGAGGGGTCTCTGTGTGTTGACAAAGGTAAGGATGGTCGATAAGTAGTTGGCTGTAAGAGTGTAGAGCTCAAGAAAGGTCTGAGGAGAGAGATGTGATGAAGCCGCAGGCATAGATGGTATTGCCTAAGAAAAGCTTAGAATTCGAAGACAGGTCCTAGGAAAGAGCTCTGAGGAACACCAACGTTTAAGAGCTGAACACAGAAAGAGGAGCCTAGGAAAGACAATAAGCAGATGCCAGAAAGGTAAGCAGACAGCCAGGAGAGGATGGTGTTCCCAGAGCCAAGAGAGGTAGTGGCTTCAAAAATGTGAGAGTGGGGGCCGGCCCCGTGGCCAAGTGGTTAAGCTCGCACGCTCCGCTTCAGCAGCCCAGGGTTTCACTGGTTCAGATCTTGGGCACGGACATGGCACTGCTTGTCAGGCCACGTTGAGGTGGCGTCCCACATGCCACAACTAGAAGGACCCACAACTAAAATATATACAACTATGTACCAGGGGGCTTTGGGGAGTAAAATTTAAAAGTAAAATAAAATCTTTAAAAAAAAAAAAAGTGAGAGTGGTCAACAACGCCAAACTTAGGAGAAATATTGAGAAAGGCAATAAGCAAAAGCATTCTCTTCCTCACTGGATTCAACAATTAGAAGGTTTGATGATCATATTATGAACAATTTCAGTAGAATTAAGGTCAAAGGAGTGAGGAATTAGACACAGAAATCACTTACACAGAGAATGGAAAGTCAGGAAATGGAGGCTCCAAGTAAAATTCATCTTTCTAGAAGCCTGAGTGTGAAGAAAAGGGGGCAATAGCTGGGAAGACTGGGCAGCCAGGTTTGAAGAACGGGTTTAGGACGGAAAAGACAAAAGAGAGTTACATGCTGATTCATATGGAGATACAGAAAAGAAACATCATTACTAAAAGAATAAATCTCAAAAGAGGCTGGTCACATGGGATCCAGAGTATAGGAGCAAAAATTAAGCCCAGGTGAGAGGAAGGGCACCTCTTCCTCAGAGAAAGGGATAATGAAGGGAGGTGAAGGTGGGCATAGATGGAGGCCCATAGATTTGCACGTAAAGGGACCGGATACGGAGAACTCTCTGTGGAGCAGACTGCCGAGCTCTACTGGCTAGAGATCAGGGTGAGCATTTGGCAAGAGCCTCGAGAAACATTGTGAAGACTTGGACTGGCCGGTGTGGAAGACGGAGGTGTGCTTTAACTAGGAACACGTGCTCAGAGTAACCAGCAGGCTGGAGATGCAGCGTTAGTGCTCACCTAACAGACTTGAAGCTCCACGGAGACACTGACCATCTGTGCTTTGCTCTCTGCTACACCCTCAGCGCCCAGCACAGGGCCTGACAAATGACAAGAGCTCACAGATTTCATCTTTGAATCAATAGACAGCTAGAATGTATAGCTGCAACAGCCTGGCTGTATGATGGCATGCAGCAGTTTTCCTTCTCGTTATCCTAAGTACAGAATTAGACTCTGACAGGCAGTTTCTAGAGAAAGTAAAAGAGAAAGTTGAGGCAGTGAGTTAAGGGGACTGACCAGAGAATGGTTAAAGAGATGCCATCTGGGACACAAATGAGACAAAAACAGATGCAAGTTATCTGCATACCTGGTTAAACTGAGGTCCCTACCGATACTTGAGACACTCCAATAGGACAGTGAAAGAAAAACATGAAACCACAACTGAAAAAGCAAAACAAAACCTCAGTCAAATTGGGAGTGACTGGCTAATGTCCACATCTGCATTTCCCACAACATCTGATACATTGAGGCTCTTTTCAGTCAGCAAGTGTCTCATACCTGACTCCCAGAATGAGTCAGGGGGTGAAGGTGTGGTGCAGAGCAGCCTCATGACTCCAGGAAAGCCACCACTTGGAGCCAGCTTTACAGCTATGGAGCTCGTGGCCTT